CCACTGGCTAATCGTTTCTTCAGCTGGTGCGAATGTGGAAATGTAGCAAGCCATGATCAAGGCAGACCAACGAACAGGTGTGGAGAGCTGATACCAATGAGCTGAGACCATTTGTCTCTGTCCATAGGTTTGAGCGAATTTTGCCTAAATGGAGTGGCTTGTTAAAAGACAGTGTGCAAGCCTCATGCTCACAGCTCATAAACTATCAATCCTTTCCATAAACTATGAATCTCCTTATGTCTCATTGAGTCATTTAAACAAAGGGAAGATGTCGTTCCGTTTAAAAGCAGAGACTCGACACTCCGACATACTATCTGAACAACAGAAACCTTTCGCCCTTGTGAGTGAAAATCATCTTCCACAGCAGTCACTGGCCTGGTTTGCTGATCCCTGGTTCGCACAGAGCTCTTCTCCATGATGCATGTTGTTACAAATCAGTTGTGAAACCCTCTACATATTTCTCAGTTCCCTGCAGATCATTAAAGAGAGTCCTCGGGTAAGGCGTTTCAAAGTAGCATGCCTATTCTGCTGTGTTCGTTTGCAGGACGACTCTATGGGATGAAGAACATGGGGACCCAATAACGTTCAGCCCTGTCACCTTAGTGTCTAAGGTAGCAGCTTGACTCGGGTATCACTGCAGTCACCGAAGTAGGCAGGACAGATGCCCCTGCTGCTATTATAAAAATGGTATCATTAGAGTAGAGGGCTGAGCAGAGCAGCCAGGACCTGAGGCACAGAATCTCTGAACAGGCAACTCCCTAAACAGCATAGAGATCATCTATGTAGAAAACAGAGGTTATGAAAATGTCCCTTAAAAATGTAAATGTAACCTCAAGCCATTACCATAATTTGCTGCAAAATGCAGTGGCCTTTCTGTCTTCTTGACTTATCAGATTGTGTCTGCAGTATATATTAAGAGATATATAAATTAATAAAAACTACATTGGCATCCACCCCAGTGAACTTTCCAGTTCTTCTGTGTGTGTGTTCATGTTTGTGTGCCATGGGGCATGTGCTGTTGCACATGTGCACGTCTGCACGTAGAGGCCAAATGTCAACACCAGGCAATCTTCCTCCAGCGTGTTCTACTTTCAATGCTTTTAGCAGGGCCTCTCCCTGGCCTAGAGCTAGCTGGATAGTCTAGACGAGCTGGTCTACAAGTCCTAGGGATCTGGCTGTCTACCTCCTCAGCCCTGGGGTTACACACACAAAACACCACACTCAGCCTTTTAATGCAGGGATCTGTGAATCAAATGCAGGTCCTTATGTTCGTGAGGCAGGCACTTTACTGACCAAGCCATCCTGCCAGGCTCCACGCCCAACCAGAGTCATCCTGTTTCCATACACTGCTCTGCTTCAAGTTTGTAAACAAGGATTTCTGTTCTGCGATACCTTAGCTCTCCTCCTGGTCCTACGCCATGGGCTAAATGGCTGAGAGAAAAGTTCAGGCCATGCCTACCGCAGCTTCGTTTACACAATTCAACAAGCAGGAAAACTTACTTTGCATTCAAGGTGGGCTAGTCGCCATGCACTAATGCACTATTGACCCTGCTCCCTTGACTGATGACCAGAGCACAGGACATAGGGAACTGGGGAGGCGTCTGTATTAGGAAGAGAGTGGGAATGTTGAAGGAGAACACCGTGATTCTGCATGGATCAGCTACAAGGAATTCAGTAGCTGAATTCAGCCAGTGAAGGTCATTACGCAATGACACAGGAAACAAATTGGGAGCAATTCAATAATCTGTAGGTAGAATTTCAGTAATAACAAAATCTATTTTTCTGTGAATGCTAAGTAGGCACCCTCTATAGACTTACTTGGAAACCAAATATGGAAACACAAAAGTAATAAGCCGAGGGACTTAAAACGAGATTTGTTCCACAATATTCCATATTTACCGCACTACGTAAAATCAACAGATGATTTGAAATATCCTCCTCACCGCCATGATCTGAATAATTCATGCATTTAAAGTTTTATGTTAGTTTCTGTGGATATCAGGACTCATATTTCAAACCATTTTATCTCTCAATGAAAATAAAAAACACTGCTTGGAATTCTCCACTGCTCACACTGCTGTGAACACACTGGCTGCTCTTCTTCCCTCTGACCCCATACTGCCTCCTCCCCTGGACCGCTCCTGTCCTACAACCCAAGGATCTGTTCTAGACCCACCCGTTGGCCACTGAGATGCAGCTCTCCATAAGTCAGGAATCATACTAATTATGCAGTATGATAAATCGATGTGCCAAAGCGTAGATGGGCTGGTGAGATGCTTAGAAAGTTATTTATATCCTCCCCTTCCATCACAATTCAAAGGCTTTTCTTTCTCAGCTCTATAAAGATCTCTGAGAGGGAGGAGCACAGCTGTTCCTACTGTAGAGCAGGCATTTGGTGGAAACATGGCGGATCACCTTCTTCAGGGACATGTGGTAGGATGCAGGGCTCGAATCAGAGTCACACGTTTCCTTCAAACCATAAAAACTTAGCACAATAAAAATCACATCCCTCTATGCTATGGCATGAAAATGTGCTGTCACGTGCCACTCTGCTGAGAGCTTGAGATCTGAGGATGCCAGGAGCAGCCATTCTTGGCCCTGACTTGGTTTCACCTTTTCTGAAGCTACTCACAGCTTCAGGTCACTTTTACTACAGATATATGTCTCCTCCACTTAAAATACATTTTCGTGTGTGTGTGTGTGTGTGTGTGTGCATATATGTGTGCATACAAGAGTTCATGTTATCCCTATGTAATAATAACCCATGTTTTGAGGGGTTTCAATGAAATGTCCTCCACAGGATCAGATATTTGGAGACTTGGTTCCCCATTAGTGGTGTTATTTGGAGAGGTTGCACAAATGTGGACTTGCTGGAGAAAGGACGTCACTGTGCGTGGGTTTTGAGTGTTTGCGGTCTCACTTCACTTCCCATGCACTCTCTCATGCTCTGTGCTGTGCTTTCTGTCGAAGAGGCAAGCCCTCTGCTTTCTGCTCCGGCCACCATGCCTGCCACTTGCTGCCTTGCTTCCTGCCATGATGGAATCTTACTTCTCTGGAACCATAAGTCCAAATAGATACTTTTATAAGTTGTTTTAGCCATGGTGTTTTATTACAGTAACAAAAAAACAACTAATACAATGTTCTTGGTCATTTATTTAGATCTGTTGGACTCCGAACCATAGTTTCATGTTTAAACATCTTCTATGCTGGTGTCATTCAAATTGTAAAATTTGAAAAGTTTACTTAATCACTTCTTGGCCCTTTTAGGTAAGATCAAGTGAGAGTATCACATTCATTTGTATTACAAATATAAACAGACCACCCAGAAGGGATCAGAAACCTGTGTTATGATTTTACATATATTACCTGATTAATAGGAGCATAATACTAGTGCACACTGTCCCAGAAATGAATCTGGTAGGATTGCCTTGCCATTAGCCCACCAATTCCACAGCTTGAGAGAAAATGAAGGTGCTAGGGGGAAGCAGATAATTCAGAATGCCCTTTCCATTCAACTGATGTTCTTTTGAGAATCCTCCTGCCAACCTGGACCACCACAGAGCATTTTATCTTCCAATGGTCAAAGTGTAAGAGTGCTTGAGGACCAATTTTAGGGATATGGCATGACTTCACAGTCCAAGATGTAATAATGTCCTTCCATGCTCCAAAGTAAGAGAAGCAGCCATGAAGTAGTGCAGGGGCTGAATAAAGGCAGCATCTGTGGAAATTTACCTTGCATTCTTTGTCAAGAGCAAATGTTGATCCATAAATGCTTTACTGAAACATGGTGCCAATGTTACTTACAAATATGCTAGGACGTTTGCAGCTTCAGTTTGGCTCTCTGAATCTTTGTTTTCTGTTAAACAATGCTACCGTGTCACAGTTGTCCCTCTCACTCACCAAGGTTGCTGGTGAGCACACAAGCAAGGTGATAAATGTAAAGGAATCCTTACCCAGCTGCAGAAAATGTCCCAAATACTAGAAAAAACAGTTTATGGAGCCATTAAGCAAGCCACTTGAACTAGATCATAGTGTAAGGTTAGGTTTTAATCCATGGCTGTTCTTTATCATATTAATTTTTTCTTTACAATTTGACATTAGTTTTTCAGAACATAATAAAGTATTTTATCTTATTATTGTTATTGTTCACCAGAGAGTATTTTATAGATGCTTCAAAAATCAGTTTTTATGTCCAAGGTCTATTTTATGACTATCTAGGTTTAACGTGGATTAATTTAAAAGTCATGAAGTGAGATTAAGGTGAAAGCTGTAATTCATTGAGTCACATATTTCTCTTTGGTTCTTTTATATTTTGAAAGGATTTATTCACCTCAATAAATATACAATGAAGTTGTGCTGTGCAAAACTGTCCTTTAGATCAAGATGGACTCGTGATGAATTCAGGAGAGGAAGGTGTAGCTCTAATGTAAGGTTGAAGATGTTCAGGTCTCATAATTGTAAGGCTGTTTGTTCACCCCTTCAGCCCTGGGGAGACAAACAAGAACTGTCTAAGCTATTCTTGCAAACATAAAACTTACCAGAACTGATAGCCCAAAGAAGGGTTAGAAACTCAGAATCCTTGAGAGGATGGGGAAACTTGGGGCGGGGATGGAAAACTCTGGAGAAGATGGAGAATAGTGTGGAGGAAAAGATGAAGATGCTTGTGAAGATAGAATGCATTGGGGAGGGTAGAGTCCTGGAGGGGATGGAGAGCCTTAGAGAAGATGAAGAGCTTTGGGGAGCATGGGGAGCCTTGGGAAAGATGAAGATCCCTGTGGAGGATAGAGAGCATTGGGGAGGATAAAGAGCCCTGGAGAGGATGGAGAGCCTTGGGGAGGATGGTGAACCTTGGGAAAGATGAAGATACTTGTGAGGATAGAGAACATTGGGGAGGATGGAAAATCTTAAGGCAGATGAAGAGCCTAGGGAAGGCTGGAGCCAGGCATTGTGAGATCAGCATTTGTACCTGCTTTTCACTGGACTCTGAGCTAGTTCCCGAAATGGAAAATGCAAAGGCTGACACTAGTGCATCAGAGATCCAGGGATTCTGTGATCCAGGCCAGGGTAGAGGTGAGCTCTACTCTCCTGAGATTAGACACAGCATCGCTGCCCTTCTGGAATTCATGTGGGCAGGCAAAGAATTCACATTTACAGGTAATGAAGCCCACCACTGGTACATCTCACCTTTTGAAGCTGGACTAGTTAGAGGTCAGACAGCAAGTACTTCCAGAGCCAATCAGAAGGAGGACAAACACGATGACCTTTTAAAGATGCGAACATGTTCATCTTAAACAATTTTAGACTGATCATGCCACACAAACACTAAAAATCATGAGACATGGATATGGAAAGGGATACGAAACAAGATCTAGAAAAAAGCCTGGAGGACAGGAAGCAGTTTGTGTAATTCCATCAGTGTTACAATCAAATACCAAGAAAGATGCAGTGCCCACTATGTGCACTAAGTTCAAAGAGAAAATAAAAATCCACACACACACATCAGACTTTAAAAGGAGAGATAAAGTTAATTAATGAACATAAGTAAGCTTAAATAAAATAAATCACTCTGGTAGAAGATAGTCTTGTTTTACTTGATTTTAACAGTGCACACATAAATAGACAAAAATTTTCATCTAGATGAAAAAAAATCTTGATGTTTCCTCCAAGAGAAAGGTTGGCTATAAAATAATATAAAATATTTAATTTGAAAACATAAAGCATATTAAATCAGACAGTTGCATAACACAGATGTTAGAAGAGATGACCTCATTTAGAATGAATTTAAGTGTACGGAAAAGATTTGGATTTATGAACAAAAAAAGTAAATTTTTAAATTTAGATATAGGCTATTTCTCCCAAGGGCAGGGTTTATAACTCCTCAGTGGATACAGACTATTTCATCCCAAGGCAAGTTTATAACTTCTTTTTAAATTATTTATTTATTTTTATTTTCTGGACATTGGTGTTTTGCCTATATTTATGCCTGTATGGGGATATCAAATCACTTGGCACTGGGTTACAGACAGTTGTGAGCTGCCATGTTGGTGCTAGGAATTGAAGCTGTGTCCTTTGGAAGAGCCCCCAGTGCTCCCAGCAGCTGCGTCATCTTTCCAGGCCCATTTTGTAAAGTCTTAATGGAAATGGTGAGCCTCAGTTCTGAAGACCCAAGGGCAGACAGGCACAAAACACAGCCCCAAAGAACCCTGATATCTCCAGAGTCACATTAAATCAAAGTCTTCCCTGGTGGCACATAGTCAAGCGAGGGTGTGGTCTTACCTCTAGAGTGTGTGGCTAGCTAGGTTTCAGGTGCAGACTGTCAACCCAGCTATAAAAGGCTAGGGAAGGAAGATCTTAAGCCCAGGTTCTATTGAAGACACAGAGAAGATTAAGGCTATTGTGGGCAAACTAAATGAGACTATTTTAAAAAACATATTTTTAAAGGAAAAGATGGACAGATCTCTGTGGGAGAGCACTTGTCCAGCATGCTCAACATTCTGGGTTCTAGCTCTAGCACTATCAGATGAAACACAAAATCAGTAACAAATGGGTAATCATGCCTGCAGCTATAGATGTGACCATCCCACCAATGCCAGCAATGATGTCATCCAGGCTAGAGTCTGAAAGAAGAATCAAGGTGCAGAAGTGACTCAGAACCATGCATACCATGCATTTGGTTGAGAGACATAAAACATGGTAAGTAGGCTGCTTCACGTGTAGCAGCAGCGACCCAGTCACTGAAAAGTTATGTGTTGGGCACATTGTGCCAATATCTATACCCGTCTCTGAGAGCACAGTAAAAAAGTAATAATTCATGGGTGCGCCATTATATATCACCTAGTCTAGCTGCAGAAATAAATATGGAAATGAACAAGCCATTCATTCCGGTTGGATACATGTCATGCAACATTCATAACTTCCATGGATACCCAGACAACAGAGACCCTTTCTGTAGACACCTGTCCTTCAGGGCAAAGCCTGGGTTTTTGGCTATATGAATAAAGAGAGTATCTTAGGAGAAGCTCAAAGGGATGGAAATTAATTTCAGAATAGGAAGACCTTCCCAGGCGAAGCTGCAGCGGAGTCACCTCCATATGTTGCCTTCATGCTCGGCCAGGTCAGCGGAGCTCACACCACCATCAACCCATATCCTTCCTGTCCCCTTAGGCGGTGTAGGCTGAGATCAGCTTGTACTTCTCTCCTAAGTTTGCGCAGATCCACCAGTAACATGGAAAGGTTTCTTCTGCTTCTTTGCGAGATTTCTAATTTTTTCTTTTCATTTATTTATCTTTCTTTAAAACAACCTATGCCTTAAGATTTCCCGTTCTTTTAGTTGTTGGTAGGATTGACATCCCAGGTAGTGGGAGTACAAACATCCATAGTAGCGAACAATGCAAGACTAGGGTCCCCGTGGACGTCATTTCCCTGGGAGGGAGTCATCCCTGTGCTCTAAGGATCCGTCTCTGAACCAATACTTTTGCATTCGTGAACAATTTCTTTGAGTCACCTATATGAGCATTCACGTAACAGTTATATTTCAGATTTCACCACCATTAATAATGCTTATTTCTTAGAAAAATAGTGCATTTGTATTTTATTTTGTTGAGATTCCTGACTTTGTCTTTGCTGCTGAGTTCAGACTCCAGCGGCAAGAAGGGGTTCTGAGACATGAATTTTAATGCCTTCTGTCTTCGCCTTCTCCATGTGATTGTGATCCTTCATACTCTGACCTCAGCTGTCAGAAATACTGAGTCTTCAAAAAGCAAATATCTTCAAGTCACTTTTAAATCTTTGGGACACAATAAATTTATTATTGAGATGCAGCATTTGAGCTGAAACATGATCAAGCCATGTAACTTGATAGTTCCTTCAATGACTCGGTGACATATTCAATACAAAAACTAAATAACTCATTTTAGTGACTGAATGGCAGCCACCCCCAACACATAACAGTTTCAAAATTCTGGCACCTATGACTGTGGCCAGACTTGAAACTGGAATTTTTATAGATCCGCATTCCTTGTGAGTCCCTTAAATTACATTTTATGATGTATATTCAAGGTACATAGCATAATACACAATGCACAAGAATAATAAAAATACTTAGTCTAGTGAAGCAAGTTAACATATCCTTCATTTCATTTTATGTATTTTTTAAAATTTTGTGGGAAGCACAGTTAGACTCTATGAACTTGTTAATAACACCAAATATGGCAGCATTTTGGTAACTATGGCCCTCCTGTTGTACATACCCTGTCTATCTCATCCATCCTACACGAATGTCATGTTCCACTAACTGAGCCACGCTTCAATTGCTCTTCCCAGTACACCCTGGAGACCACTGCTTCTTTCTGCACCTCTATGTATCTGACTTTATTTCATGTATGTTCAATTCCACCCAGAGGCAGGATAGTCATTCGGGATGTGACCTTCCATTCCTTTCTAGTCTCAAGCAGCAAAATGTTCTTAAGGCTGGACCATCCGGCTATAAAAGACAGAAGCTTCTCTTTAGAAGGCTGACTGGTGTTCAATTTCAGTTACGTTATCATGTTTTCTCCATTCATTCATTCATTCATCATTCATTCTTTCACTTGTTACTCGCTTCCCCGGCTTTACTGTTGTAAATAGTAGCGCATTAAACATAAGACTGAAATATCTGTTAGAGATCGGAGATTTCATTTTCTGCAGAAAAGCTATGTCCCATGGTGATTCTGTTTCTAATTCATTTAGAAATGTAGATGCTGTTTCCATAAGGACGACACAAAATTATACTATCTCCAAGAGCACACGGGGCTCTTCTGTGAATGTTTGGCCCCTCTCCCCCCACTATGCTTCATTTTTGCTGTGGACTCCCTCTTGGCTGACGTGAGGGTATCTACGGTGACTCTGAGGTGTATATCTATCTGCCGGCTGTTTGTGTTGTTCAGGAAACATGTATTGTGATGGTTCACCTAACTGTCAACTTGATGACATATAGACTCACCAGGGGTGGGGTGGGGCCATCCTCTGAGCACACCTGTGAGAGATTGCCTTCATTAGGTTACCTGAGATCTGAAAGTGCACTCAATGTGGGCAGTGCCATTCTCCAGGCTAGGATCTTAGGCTGTGTAAAGAGAGCTAAGGTGAGCACAAGTGTGTATTGCTCTCCTTGACCTCCCCTGCTCCCATCCCACTCCCAGGATGGACTGGACCTTGAGACTATTGACCAGAACTCCCGTTATGGAATTGCATGCATTCGTGGTCAGTTATGGACATTAACCCCTGGTTGTTCAGCCTAAGCCAACAATGTTTTTTGGAGACATCATCTACTCTCCCTGTGTTCCCAGTCCAAGCTGCTGTATAGCCAGCCATCCCTTCTGGCTCTGTGCACCCCAGAAGCTGTAACTAAGGACTAAACAGAGACACTAAGACACCACTGCCACTGACTGCTCAGAGTCCATGGCATATTTTTCAGCAAAATAATGTCATATACTTATAATTTCGCTAAATTTGGCTTCTTGGACCTATCTCCTTCCACTTCACAAATAGGTCACATGTATCATGCTTACGACTGAGTCATGGTTCCAAAAATATCCCAGCCCAAACAGTGACACACCAGCCAGACAAGGAAGGACCGTGACAGATGAGCCCAGGCCTCATTATACAAGGTCTGGTTGTCAGCTTAGGGTGAAAGTGAGAACTCTAAAGATGGCTTCATGTACGATATTTGAATATTGCTCTAGTTACTTCTGTCATCTCTTGTGACTGCTCATTTTATTTAGGCTAAGCGGCTTCCTCATATGAGTAAAGGCATAGCAAACCTCTCCGTGCCAAGCAGAAGAGACGGCTCAGTGAGGCACAGAATCCACAACACCCACATACAAAGTCAGGCAGGGCTGTGACTGTGCATGCTTGCAGTCCCAGCATTGGAGGTGAAGACAGGTGACTCTCCAGAGCTTTCTGCTCAACCAACGTATAAATATCTCAGCCCAGAAGTTTCTTGCTGAACTTCTACTTGAGGAATGAGAGAAAAATCTGAGCTACTATTGTGAGAAGCTGCATGAAGGTGTCACTATATTATTGTTACAGAAAAGAGAGGAGAGGTGACTGAAAGGAGAGGGGAGGGGAAGAGAGGAGAGGAAGAGAAAGAGGAGGAGAGAGGGGGAAGGGATGGGAGGGGAGGGGAGGAGAGGAGAGGGGAAGGGAAAAGAGGGGAGAGAATGTTGTAGTCAGTTGCCTCTGTTTACTTCCTTGCACCTAGAACAGCCTTACACATCACTTTTTCTCATAAAAAGTTTAAATTGTTGAAGACTGAAAAGAATTCTTGTTGTAGCTGATCTCCGGGGTTTAAATATTGATTTTTACTCTTTATTGGTTTCAGCAATGTTCATTAAAAATTCAAAGACAACCTCTAATGAACAGCTTTCAAAACACAGAGACTACGATGAAGCAGGTATGGGTACCATGATGTTATACACGTGAGCAAAGAGCCAGAACTAAAGAAGACAGTGAGGGCTGCCCCCCTTGCTTAGTGTTTGCAAATCTAACTAGTCTCAAGGTCACCACACCACAGTCAGCTTAGTGAATGTCAGGCAAATCTCCGTCTCACTGATGACTATGATGTGGGATTCAGAGATGCAGCAGGAGTGACGGGTGACTTTCTTCTGCATCCACCATCTTCCTTTTGCTGCCTGAGTAGGTGTGACATCCCTGTAACATCCCTGTATGGGGTAACCGGAATCATCCTCCCCTGCCTTGCCAGGTGTCTACAGAAAGAAGTCTCCTGCTGCCTACAGATAATAGCCAAATGCATTAAAACTTCTGTGAAGTCATTCTAAGATCTGAAGACCCAGCTTTGTGGTACAGAGCTTAACTTCCAACCTCAGCTAGCATAACAAAAGCTATTGAGTCAGGATAAAAAGGTATTCCAGTTCCCATGGATGTCTGACTACTTCTGGGACCCGATGTTCCCTGTCATTGTTACTGCCCATGTTCTCTCCAGGAGACCTCACAAAAACCAGTTCCTTATACACCAAAGGCCTGAGGAGGACCCTTCCAGAAAAGGCTGTTAAAGACACCTTTGGCCCTACCAAGAAGGGTGTAAACCTCAAGTATAACCATTTCTGCAGTGGAAGAAGGGCTGACGTCATTTTCTCGGAAGACTCTGCTCCTCACGACAGAACACCCCAGCACCCCACTGTTTCAGTACTAAGTTACCAGTGTTCAACGAATAGAGAGCATCCCTCACTGAACAAGTCTCTCCTTCCTGACTCCCTCATCTCAGGCATAACCATCTCCTGCTATCTCTTTAGTTTACCATAAATATTAGAAACAATAGATTCAGTGTATTACTATAAATAAATTGAGGGGGACATAAACTATGTAATCAAATGGCATAACATACACAGTACTGAGTGAATTCCTAAACCTTGAGAAATGAGTAGGCGCCTGCCCTTGGCTTCCATTCCAGGCTTCTTCTTGGGGTCCAGGACCATGGAAGTTTCTGGCATTAGTTCAGGAAGTGATGTGTTTGTCAGAATGACAGCAAGAAAGAAGCTCCAGTGACTGATGTTTAATAAAGGAATGTTTCATTAAGAAATCTGTGGGGTTGAAAGATGTCCTTGCGGTTAAGAGCACTACTCTTATGGAGGACCTGTGCTAGGTTCAGAGGACCCACCTCTGGCCTGTAACTCCAGTTTCAGGGGATTTAATGCTCTCTTGTGGCCTCTGCAGACATCAGGCACACAGGACAACAGGCACACACGTGGTGCACCTACATAAATGTAGGCAATCACACATCCAAATAAATTTTTTTTTAATTCTTAAAGAAATGTTACCTAAGATCTTGTGAAACACCAATGAATATATTATGTATGTATTCATGTATATGTATGCATTTTCTATATACATGTATGTGTGTATATATGTATGTGCAAGTATGTGTGTGTATATATATATATAATCAAAGTCTGATTACTTACAAAATTTACTGTCAACTTATTTACAGTAACATTTAAGTCAACATGTCAGCAACACAGAAAAGCATGAACACATTTACAAGTAAATACTTCCCGTGAGGAAAAAAGAAACAGAAAAAGGTAGAACTGGGTCTCAACAACACCAAATTAGATAAAGCTTATTTCCAAATATGGAGCATCTGTGTCTCTGAATTGTGGACACTTGAGTTGACTTAGAATTTGGGTCCTACTTGGAGCTAATAGTCACTATTGACCCTTGAATTTGTTTTGGGTCTAGAGTACTTTTCTCAGACCGGAGCCTCACAGTACTGGTACACCCCAGGACTTCCTACCACTCAAGAGGTCTCGAGCCTGTAGAGACCTGGCACAGGTGTTGTAGATGTCCTTTCTATCTTCTTTCCTTGGTCTTATTTTAAAAATGCTGGCATAATAGTTAATATTGGCTGTCAACTTGAATGGGTGGAGAACAACCTAGAACATTTAACTACTACAGTATACTGACTAGTGTAGCTAGGAGGGGGTCTCCAGACAGCATTACCTCATAGAACAGACCCTAAATGTGGCCACCATCATCCCATAGGCTGGGTCCTTCAATGGGACAAAAGGATCAACAGGATAGACTAAAACTGTCCGGTGCTGGACACAGAGATGAAAGACAGCAACACAATTATCAACTCTCATTCACTTCGTATTACACAATGTACCATTTTGTGTCTTGTGTAGTCTCGGCCATCCCTCACCACCTGGTTTGTGCGGCTAATACTCCTTCTGTGCCTCTAATCTGCATTGCAAAACATGGCATCTTTTCTCTTGCTACTGTCTGTCCATTCAATGGCTGAGCAAGCCAAGTCTCCATGGAAACTACCCAGAAAGGAATCCACAGCCTGGTTCCAAGCTGGATCTGAGGGTTCGACTTCCTGATTGTGCCCTAGGGAGCACACAGTGTCAACCTCCAGAGGTCAGTGAGAGACACAGGATTCTGAGTGTGGCTTAAGTTTAGGTACCAAATAGCCCATGTAGCCCACAGTGCTTAGAATCAAAACTTCTGAATTTTTCTGAGTTGTCAATCAGGTCCCAGTAAACCTTTGTCCCACATGACATTCCAAACAGGAACAGGCTGCCTGCATCCTTCAGAAGCTGTCCTTTTAATCCTTCAACAAGAATTCAATATACAGTCCTAATACTTGAAGGAATTGTGTGGATCCTTGCAGCATTTTAAAGACCCGGGTAGAAAACTCCGCTTTGACTGATGACTGCCTAGTTTGTTTATTCTCCTTGAGTTTTAGAGAAAGAATAGCTTTCCTTGTATCATTTTAATATTTCTTTATTACCTCTTGGTCTCTTTCTTATCATTCTCATCATTATAAGATGTTTATATAAAACTTTTCCTCAGAGAAACTCAAATCATATCACAAACTGAAATTGCCAAATAGACATTAATCTTCGCAGTGCCTGTGTGAGAGAAGCCGAAGCCCCAGTAATTAAAATATTGAATAGGTGTCTGCGGAGAGCCACACTGGGAAAACAAGACACAAAAGGAGCCGGCAGTTCATTATTTCAATTGTAAAAAGAAATTATGAGATTACAACCAATTCTCTGAGATAAGGACCTCAAAACGGTCATGAAGTGAGCCCAGATGCTTGCAAGATCTATTACTGTGGGCGGAAACTATTTCCAAAGAGAGAGCACACACTACAGTGGCCGTATTTGTGGAGGACTTAGGGCTTTTATCTAGGTGATTACAATCCTCTTTGATATTTCTGCGGCATTATGGAACTTGCAGCCAAGGCCTATCATCCTAGTTTAGTGATGGGACTGCAGATGGCAGGGTGTCACAGCAAGAGACCGGCTTCTTGCTTGCATGTTGTCTTCCACTACCACACAACAAGCCAGAGGATGTCAGGGAAGCCTCTGCTACAGCTAACTTCTATTTTTTGTCAGGGTATTTAATGTGATTTTATACATGTGATAAATATTATATATATAATTTAATATACATATATAACTTAAATGACAGTCCAACAAAATTCAGTGTTTTCCCATTTTGATATTGCAAAATTGAACCTTTGTAATAATCTAACAAAGTCCCCCATTTCCCTCTCTTGCTACTTTGGTACCATCATATCTGTGTCTCCTTTTTGTGTCTATAAATCTGACCTCTCCAGAGACTTCATGTAAGTGACAAGACTTACTGTCTGTCTTGTTGAGACTGGAATGTTTCTCTTAGCAATATGCCCCAAAAGGATCGCTTAGCAGCAGAATAGGACACGGCCCCCTTTAAGGATTAATTAGCAATGTTTCCCGTGAATGCTCAATCATGTTTGTTCCCACAGTCGTTCATTGATACACACTAGTTTTCTACCAAGTTGTATGTGAACAGTTCCATTCTGAACACGACATGCACATATTTCTTTGAGGTCCAGCTTTCAGATATTGTCGGTTATATATCCAATAGCAGGATGGCTGGACCACATGGTAATTTAATTTTTAAACTTTCGAATCTTCATACAATAGCTCTACCAGTTTTCATTCTCATCACTAGTGCAGGAACAACTCTGTGATGGGACTTACCCTGCCAAAGGAAAAAGTAATTCTACAAGAAATAAAACACCAAGGGGAGAGAAACATAGACTAAAACACCATTGACATGGGGAGTTACATACAGCAGAACCTCTGGAAGACCATCAGTGCTCTTAATCACTGAAACATCTCTCCAGCCCATGCCTGAACTTTTTAAAACCAAAATCAAATTAAAACCACAGTATTTCTTACTAAATTTATAGTATTTTACTACCTTAATACAGTGGCATTTCAATTATATTTTAGTAAATAAAGCTTGCCTGAAGATATGAGAATTAGACAGCCTCACTGGTCAGCCTTACAGACCAGGCAATGGTAACACACACCTTTAATCCCAGTAGCCACACTAGTTTGCCCTAGAAACTAGGTGGTGCATGCCTTTAATCCCAATGGTGCACATCTTTAATATCAGTCCTAGAGAATATTATAAAATGGAAGGAAACAGCTCTCGAACACAGACTCATTCTGAGATTCCTGAAGGCAATATTGTCATTTTTGTACTGAGGTTGAGGTCAGAGTCAGTGGCTGGCTGCTTTGCTTTTCAGATCTTCAGGTTGAACCCCAATTTCATTCTCTGAGTTTTTTTTTTTATGAATCATGCTTTATTTGGATCTTCGGGAAAGCTTAATTTATTAAAATACAATTTAAATGCCACTACATTTACACTTTTTTGTCTAAAATTAAAAAGATTAGCTTAATGGTGGTGAATTTTGCAAAAAAAAAAAAAAAAACCCAGCATTGTTTTGAGCTTCTAATGTTTTCAGATAAAATTTGCTAGCCATGTGTTTTAAATTTGGTCATCACAATAGAAGTTTTCCTTTTATAGGGGGCAGAAGAGATTGAAGACATAAAAGAAAGAACTGGAAGAGGTAGATGGCAGGGTGGCCGAGGGAGA